ACCACAGTTAAGTCTGGCATGGTATGTTCTAATTGTTTATTAGCTTGAATCTTAACAGTTACCCCAAAATTCAGTTCTTAAGTAGAATCTGAATCACTGGTGGTCTGGAACGCCAGTTAGGAAATATCTGGTAGATTCTGACACTGAGAAAAGTTATGTATTTATTTGTTTGTTTAGAAATCTGTCTATCCTGCTCTTTCTCATAAGATTTCAGGGCAGGGCACAGATAAAACAACAAACAGTTGAAAACAATTGCCAATTAAGCAAAAATGTCTCAAACAGAATTTTTTTTACAAAGCCTCACCTTGACAACAAAGTGAAAACAGCTTAAAAGCCTACAACAATTAAAAAAACAGAGGCATGTATGATTATGGCAAATTCAGCCCTACAAGCCTTTGTACAAAGCCGTGTCTTGACTTGGCGCCAGAGAGAGAGCAATATTCGGGGCAGTAAGGCCTCCCGAGGGAGGGCATGATCCAAAACAGGGATGCCAGATTGGGAGTTATGTGACACCCACCCTTTAGATATTGTAAGACTACATATCCCATCAGCTACAGGTGAGGAATGCTGGGATTTGTAGTCCAACACCATCTGAAGAGTTACATGATTCCCAGCCTTGATTTTGGCTGAGAAAAGTAACTTTCTCATGCTCTTGGTTGTGGATGGTGGAGGCGAGTGGAGGGCATCCCTCACCCCTCTGTTTCTCACCCCTGCTCCCCTTTCTCTTCCTCCTGCAGACGGATCAGTGCCTCCCGGGGCCAAGACCTTGCCCCAGGGCTACCTGTACAGCTTCCTCTATGGCTCGCTGGTCCTCTTCCTCTGCCTGCTGGTCTGCTTGGTGGGCTCCCACATCTACTCCCGGGCTGCTTTCTTCATCTTCCTGGTGGTCAACGTCATCCTGGTCACCATCTTTGCCAGCTTCTTTGCTGTCTCCCCCCGGGAGATCACGATCGCCCGCGATGGCAACCAGAGCTTCAATGCCTCCTTCACTGGCTTCAACATCTCCACTCTCAGGGACAACATGTACGGTAGGCACAGACGCAGTGGCACCGGGCAGAGGGTGCCAGGAATCATTGGTAGTCATTAACTCCCACTTTCAGCTCTTCAGCCCAAAATGAGGGGAGAAAACCAGTCTCCTCTGTGTGTGTCTGTGTCTTTCTCTCTCATTTTTTCCCTGCTTTCTCTATCCTCTCCTTCTCTCTATCCCCTTTGCAGCCAAGTACTCCCGTGATTATACCACAAACAACATGATGTCCTTTGCCACAGTCTTTGCTGTCATGTTCAACGGTTGCACAGGCATCATGGCTGGCTCCAATATGTCAGGTGAGGTTTGTGCAAGGCAGATTGGTGTGCCACGAGGGGACGGACAGAAGGGAGGCTTAGGTGGACCTTTTTTTGGGGGGGAAGGGGGTGTTACTAAGGATCCCATGTCCCTTGTATGGCATCTGGGGGATCTCCACTTGGCCCACTCTATCACCAGATAGAGGAGGACTTCTGCTTGTCCATCTCTTACACCAAAGTTACCACCACCCTTGAACCACTGCTGTTATGACGGACACCTTGTGTCTGAACTCAACTACCCCAGTAGCACTCTTGTACAATTCTCAGAGGTACACAGGTGTTTATTACAAGAATAATTTATTACACAAAAATTCAACATACAGTTGAAGATTACTTGGTCTACATAAGCTTACAGAATTCCTAGGCTTTATTGTTATTGTTATTTATTTAATTCATCAAAATCCTAATTGACTCTTGACACATGTCACTGTCTCTTCATAACCCTAGCTGGCCCTAACTCACTGTCTTAACTGTCCCAGGATACATCTATACTTTAGAAATAATGCAGTTTGACCCCTCTTTAACTGTCATGACTCCAGTCCTGCAGAATTTTGGAATTTGTAGTTTTGTGAGGCACTAGCCTTCTTTGACAGATAAAAGACCTAGCAAAACTACAAATTGCAGGGCTTCATAGGATGGCCCTACAGCACTTAAACTGCATCATTTCTACAGTGTAGATCAGGGGTAGGCAACCTAAGGCCCGCGGGCCGGATGCGGCCCACCGAGGCCTTTGGACCGGCCCCAAGCTGGTCCTGCCGCCGCTGCCACCGCCGCACCCTGCCACCACTATGATGATATGGATTATTGTTGTTATTACTTGTTCTTGGGGTTTTCTTGGCAAAATCTCCACAGGGGTTTTGCCATGGCTTTTCTGGGGCTGAGAGATTGTGCATGCATAGTTTTTTTTTAATTTTTTAAATGTTTTTAATTTTTTTTTATTTATTTATTTATGGTGCTTTGGCCCCCCAATTGTCTGAGGGACAGCAACCCGGCCCCCGGCTCAAAAAGGTTGCCTACCCCTGGTGTAGATGAACCCCCAGAACACAAACTCCTTCCCTTCATTGTCTCGCCTCTGGCTCACTGTCTTTTCTCTAACATACATACAGATATACATACATCTCTAACACACATATACATGTACATCACACACTGTATCTTACATTCTTTTCTCTATTAAACACAATTTTATAGAAGTCCAGACCACCCTATTGGGGAAGGTGAGTTGCAACATATAATTGCCTAAACCTGCTGCATCCTTTACGTGTAATTTTTCTACTGCCTACACTGATGCAGAATTCTGCAGGACTCAAAACCTGGCACACTTTGGTGGTACATTGTTTGGTGTTAATAAAAGTTACACTCAGCTGCAGATTGTGGTTAGCTTTTGGTGGATTTCTTCACTATCTGAGGGTTGGACAAGGTGATTTTTTGGAGATATTTACCAACTGTATGGGCCTACCAACATGTCTGCCTTTGCTTTGGGATTTAAAAGGGGAACTGAAAAACGCCAGCAGCTCCATCCCAAAGGGGACTATTGTTGCCGTCGTCTACACCTTCGTCATCTATTTCTTCCTTTTCTTCATGACCAGCTTTACCTGTGAGAGGTGAGGTGTTTGTCTGTGTGTTTTTTGATTCAAATCAGAATACAGCTTCCATAGCAGTTCTTGCAAAGCCAAAATTATAGTGCTGATAACTGATAAGAAGTCTCATTTTACGGCTGCATGCCTGTGAGAAAATCGTGCTAAACATAAACCAAGGGTCAAGTCTCCTTACATTATCTAGAACTTGGTTGCATCAGAGAACAAAAGGCCTTAAGCACAGTGGTAGCAAGGAGAAGATGGAAAATTCAGCTGTGGCAGGGATTGACGGAAGCTTTCTGCCTGCTTTGAGTCCTCTGTTTCATAGAATTGTGGAGTTGGAAGGGACCTCCAGGGGCCATCCAGTCCAACTCCATTCTGCCGTGCAGGAAGACACAACCGGAGCCCTACTAACAGATATTTTATTTTATGTATTTATTTATTTATTGGATTTATATGCTGCCTTTCTCCCAAAATGGGTTTCATTTTGATGGCTATCCAGCCTCTGTTTAAAAACCTTCAAAGAAAGACACTTCAAAGCTCTGCTTTCCTGGAGGTTCCTGGGGAGCCATGTCACTCTGGGAGAGCAGGCTGGGACTGTCGCCTGTGCCTAAACTATGGCTGAGAGTTCTGCAGACTTTTTTCCAAATGTTCTTGTACTGCAGAACCCAGCATCCCCCACCTATAACCTGTACTGCCTAGGGAAACTGCTGGGAGGTGTAAGTCGAGCAACATCTGGAAATAGGGCACACAGTTCAAACCCTGGAGAGCTCACCAAAGTGTCATTGGGTGGACAGCTAATTGTTCCCAGGTGGAACCATAAAAGTTTCATTACTTGCTGAACTGGACACTATTTGTGTCTTAATATTTACACTGAAATGCGCGATGCAAGACCAGAAAGTTATTTTTTGTTCTTTACAGTATGTTCTGTCTGCTTGATCTTTCTGAAATAAATTATATTTATGTATAGAACCATAAAACCTTTTTAAAAGCCAGGGTAACCCTGTGGTTAAAAATTGAAACCTGATCCCCGAAGAGATGGTCCCTCTCTTCCCACTTGTGGTGAAGTTTTGGACTGGAAATGAAAGAGGGTTAAAAATTGGGTGATAATGAGTGATGGCAGAACGAAGGTGTAGAGCCAAGAATATGGGGATGGGGCATGTCAGGTGGGGGTCTTACCAGTGAAGGCCCCCGGAAGTTTTGGACTACAGCTCCCATAATCCCCCAGATAGCACAGCTGTCTGGGGGGATTATGGGAGCTATAGTTCAACACTTCCAGGGGTGCTGAGTTGAGGAGAAACAAAGAGAATGTTTGGAGAAACACAGGATGCTCGCCTTTGCAAATTCCTCTCTTTTCCTGCCCTGTAGGGCGCTGCTGATAGGGGACTATGGCTTCTTCCGGGCCATCAACATCTGGCCTCCCTTTGTCCTGATTGGTATCTACTCTGCATCTCTCTCAGCCTCCATGAGCAACCTCATTGGTGCCTCACGGATCCTCCATGCCTTGGCCAAGGACGACTTGTTTGGTGAGGCTGCCTCGCCCTTCCCTTTGCCTTCCCCACCTTCCCCACCTTCACCCAGTTCCCACCCTGCAAAGTGTCCTAACTTACAGCTGCCTTACAACTTCTTTTCCCTCCAACAGGGATCGTCCTGGCACCTGCAAAGGTTGTCTCCAAAGGAGGCAACCCTTGGGTCGCTGTCCTTTACACCTGGGGCCTTGTGCAGGTAATGGCTTTGACCTCCGTCCCTCTCTCACATCCACTCTCACATCCACAGCTGTGTTTCACAAGGCACCGTGGTGAGGCTGAGAGCTTGGTCTTTTAACAGTGGACATCTCCCACTACTGGCACATTCCTTCCTTATTGGATATGAAAGAAACTCCAAGGGTCAGGTAGTCCAACCACATTTTGCCATGCTGGAATATATAACTAAAGCACTCCCAAGAGATGGCCATCCAACCTCTGCTTGTTTTTGTTGTGTGCCTTCAAATTGTTTACGACTTATGGCAAATCTAAGGATATCATGAGGCTTTCTGGGGCTGAGTGTGTGTGACTCACCCAAGGACACCCAGTGGGTTTCCATGGCCAAGGGGGGGATTGAACCCAGATCTCCAGAGTCCAAGTCCTGCTCTCAAACCACTAAACCATGCTGGCTCTCCAACCTCTGCTTAAAGAACTCCAAAGGTGGAGAATCCAGCATCCTCTGAGACAGTCTGACCCACTCTGAAAAACTGTAACTATCAAGAAGTTATTTTTTTCCTGTTGTTTAGGTGGAATTTTTTTGCAATTTGAATCTCATATTGTTATTAACATTATTTTTGTTATTACTTTATTTATTTACACCTTGACTTCTTCCCAGGCTGAAGCTCAGCGTGACCTATAAATATTAGAAATGATATCCTTCAGAAGTTGAAAAGTATAATTAAACTATTACTAGAGTCAAAACAATTCAAAAAGCTGTTTCCATTCTGACCCCTTGCTCTGCCTGCCTCTTCCCTCTGCAGCTGGTGCTCCTCGTGGGGAAACTCAACACCATCGCCAGCATTGTCACCGTCTTCTACCTCGTGGCCTATGCAGCTGTGGACCTGGCGTGCCTGGCTCTCGAGTGGGCCTCTGCTCCAAACTTCCGGTGGGTGAAATGTCCAGTGGGAGGGGGAGAGACAATCAGGCCACATTTGAAGGTCAATCAGGGTGGATAAGAGGGATGCCCGGAGAACCAGGCCACCGTAAGTCCTGGGGAAGACTTTATTTGGCTGATTCAAATATTTACACCACAAGATCTCTGGGTGGCATGCAAATGAATCAATCTGAAATAATTTAAGCATGTAAAACAGTAAGGAATAATTAAACAGTTTCAAAAGCCAGATGAAATGTAAAACAGTTTAAAAGCATGTTGTTGTTGTGTGCCTTCAAGTCCTTTCCAAGTTATGGAGACCCTCAGGTGTATTGCAAGGTTTCGGGAGGCTGAGAGTGTGTGACTTGCCCACCCAGTAGGTTTCCATGACCAAGTGGGGATTTGAATCCTGGTCTCCAGAGTCATAGTCCAGTGCTCAAACCACTACACCAGAGTGGTGTAGCATACAAGACTATATTTCATGAGTATGTTGTGCCATCAGGTAGGCTTCAGCTAATGGCAGCCCTTTGAACGAGGGACTCCTCTAAGAGTCGGGTCACCCATAGGCCTGCTCAGGTTTATAAAGTCAGAGCTGCAGCCAGGGCTTCCTTGAGTGATGCCACCTCCCTCCCTTTTTCCCCTGACTGCTTTCCACTTTTCCCCACATTATCATCTCTTCCAATGAGTAGAAAACCCAGTGATTGGGTTGCCTTAGAGCTACCATAAGTCAGAAACAACTTGAAGGCACACAACAACCAGAACAACATGTTGTCTCATGATATGTCCAAAGTACAGTAGCCTCACTTTAGCTCCTTTTAGCTGTTAGGGGAAAAGTTCAGTCTTGCTCTCACTGATCTGACCAGACCATATTCACCTGTCTCAAACATGCTTCTAGATAACTTAGCAAGTTAAATTTAACATGTCAGATTAGTTTAAAACCAAGTACCTAAATAGTGGGATTCATGCGACCCTCCAGATTTGGCTGGACTGTAGCTCCCAGCATTCCTCATCATTTTGCCTGTAGGGTTGATGATGGGAATTGCAGCCCAACAAAAACACTCATAGAGTGTTGCATGATGCAAGTATTGGTAATGAATTGGGCACGATGATTAGACTCCAGGGGCTTTGATAAAAAGCTATATTTTAACAGCTGTGAAAAGGGCCAAGGTTGGCACCAATCAGGCCTCTGAGGGGGAGGGCATTCTGCACCTGGGGGGGCAATGCAGATAAGGCCCTGCTCCCGCATCTCGTCTTGGGGGATAGGCACAGGGAAGGCTCCCTCTCAAAAGGGCCATATGGGGGGCTCTCTAGGTTTAACCACTGTTGCTACCTCTCTCTTCCCGGCCAGACCCACCTTCCAGCTCTTCTCATGGCACACGTGTTTCCTGGGCATCGTCTCCTGCCTTGTGATGATGTTCCTCATTAGTCCAGCCGGGGCTTCTGGGAGCCTGGGACTCATGCTGTTGCTGCTGGGCTTCATCCACCTCCGATCCACCGCATCCTCCTGGGGCTACATCAGCCAAGCCCTCATCTTCCACCAGGTATTTTGCAATCAAACAAAAGCTGTGGGGGAATGGCCCTGAAACCAAAACCAGGAGTTGACTCTTAGGCATTCGTTAGGACCATGTCAGCAAAGCCTGCAAGCTTTGGAGTTCTGCAGAACTCTTTGACAGGCAGATCAAGGGTGTGCTGCAACTTTTGCTTGCCTTTAGGGGCCAATCCTATGCCCCCAAGATGCTCTGGGAAAACACAGACTGTAGAAAGTGCCACGCAACAAACCTACAACTGGGCAGAAGTCCACTTTTGGTTTTGGGAAATGGGTATCTTTTGGTATAAAACATTTCTGTGAGTCTTTGAAACTTTTTCAGAAAGTGAATTGCTGTTCCAGGAGTGCCAGTTTGTCTTTTGGGGAGGAGGCAGGAAAAGGATAGGCTGGGGACTCTGGAAAGTCTGAGGATCACAAAACACAGCATGGGAATCACACTTGCCCTCCCTTTGGAGGTGGAGGGGGAAGCCCAAACAGCTGGCCAGATGTTGTGGCTGTCAATTTTACAGCTGAGCTTGCTCCCAAGATGGAGATTTCGAACTCAGAAAAGGAGACTTATGGCTGAAGGTGGTCATTTTCACTCTGCCTCATTTTCTGGGACATTGAGGGTTTTGATATCTGTCCTGGGAGGAAAAAAAAAAAAAAGGAGATTGGTGTAGACTCAGAGACCTGTCATTGCTTGACTCTGCTTCCTTGATGCCTTTGTGCAGAAAATGCAGACCAGGAGGGGCAGTATTTCTGTTTGCAAAGTTGTAAATTGGGGTGGGAAAAATTTGGCCCTCTAAAGGTCGGGCTGCAGTTCCCATCATCACTATAACCAGCACTGCCAATGATTTGGAGGAGCTGGCAAGAATTAGAATGAATTAAAATGTGGAAGATTGAATTTTCTTTGGAGAACAATTCCCAGAATCCCCTAGCCAGCCTAGCTGGCACACCAATGATTTGGATGAACTGGGAAGAACTGGAATGTGGAAAACTGACCTCCTTTGGACGACAGTTCCCAAACAATGCTATGCTGGCTGGGGGATTCTGGGAGTTGTTGTCCAAAGAGGTCACTCCTCCAAATATCAGAGGGTATTTTGATGCCAATGCCTGTAGTCTGGTGGAGAGAAAGACCCGAAATTCCCTCCTCATATCTCTTTTTCTCATTTCTCCCTGGCCAATAAAAGGTGCGAAAATACTTGCTTCTCCTGGACATCCGGAAGGACCACGTTAAATTCTGGCGGCCGCAGATCCTGCTGATGGTAGCCAACCCCCGGGGCAGCTCCCAGCTCATGAAGTTCATCAACCACCTCAAGAAGGGAGGCCTTTTCGTCCTGGGACATGTAGAGATCGGGGACCTTGGTGAGGTGGGAGTGTGGCTCCCTGTGCTTTTTCCACCCCCAAAATAAGGGAGTTGTGTGTGGATGAAAGGTCGGATCAGGCCTTTGCAGGAGGTTCATTTGCCCCAGTGTTGTCATCTCTGGCTGGCAGCTGCGGCTCTTTGGGGTTCCCGGCAAGAGTCTTTCTTCATCTGTTATAGAGCGTTGGTGGGACCTTCTGTACAAGGACATAGGAAGCTGCTTTTATATCAGAGCCTTGGGTCTTCTAAACATTGTGTTTCCAGCTCTGGCAGGCAGCAGCAGGGGGTGCTTCCAAAGTTTCCAGCAGGATTCTTTTCTAGCCCTCCCTGAAAATCCCTGGTCTTCCCTTCTGGTGGCCTCCCCCCCAAGTCCTAACCAGGGCTGAATGGGAACACAGGGAGCTAGAGTCAGAACCTGGGGCACCCCTCTTAGCCAGTTGTTGGCTGTACCTGGCAGCTGCTCTAGCTCTCCAGGGTTTCTTTCAGGCTGGATTCTTTCCCAGCTGACACCTGGAGGTGCCACTGGGGACTCCACCTGAGACTGTCTGCATAGAGCCATTGGGAGCAGCCCTTCTCCTGAGCCAGGCCCTTCCACAGAATCCCATACAGCCAACTGTGTCTGTCAGAAGCCACTCCACAGGGTTTCAGGCGTGATTCTTCCCAAGCCCTGCCTGATGCCTTCTGGTATGATCCCCCCATGGTGGCCGCCTAGGGCTGACTTGGGAGTTCAGGAACCTGCCCTTATGTGGACTCAGACCCTTGCATGGGCTCCATTCAGCCCAGTATTCTCAACCCTGACTGGCAGTGTCAGCAGCGGCTCTTTATGGGACTTCCTAGCCAGGAACTGCAGATGCAGCTGGAGATTGAATCTGGGCTCTTTGGCATTAAAACTTAGGAAGTGGCCGTTATGCTGAATCAGACCCTCGGAGGTCAGTGTTGTCAGCTCTGACTGGCAGCTGTAGCTTATATGGAGTTTTCAGGTTTTCAGGCAAGATTCTTTTCTAGCCAGTTTCTGTGAAGCCCTGGCACATTCCCTGGCAGTGATTTAACCAGACCCTTCGCTTCAAAAATCTGGGCGCACTCAGGGTAGCGAGTTGTCCTAACTCCTTGCTCTTCTTCCTGCAGACACCATGCCATCTGACCCCATCCAGGCCCACTATAACTTTTGGCTGAGCCTGGTGGACAAGCTGAACATCAAGGCGTTTGTGGACTTGACCCTGTCCCCTTCAGTCCGGCAGGGGACGCAGCATCTATTGCGGATCACTGGCTTAGGTGAGGATGAGGGCCGGAGGGGCAACCACAGGCGGGAACACAGGTGTAGTGGGACAGCTCCTCTACACATAGGGTTAGAAATGAACCAAAGTGTGGGGAAGGGACCTGATCCACGCCTGTCCATTTATCTGGGATTGGTAGTCCAAAAAAGGACCTTTATTAAGCTCTGGGCTCCCCACTTCCTGTTTCTACCAACATCAATTCCCCACTCTGGGGGAACAGAATAAATCCTGGGAGAAGGAGCACCCCAACCTGAGGCAACCTGGCAGACTTGCAAGAATGTTGTTATATCCTCCTAATCTTTCCCACTCTGGCCTCAGAACCTGGTGTAGTTCTTTGGTTCCCTATGTAGCCTGGGCATGTGATTGATCTCTTTCCTT